CACACACACACACACACACACACACACACACACACACACACACACAATCACTTCCACGCACTTGGTCTCAGTCATGTAAATCGCTGCAGTCAGAGCTCCTTCCTGTTTTTCAGTAGTTCCGTCTTCTCTTGTTCCGTGTTTGCATAGACTGAGCTGAAGGGAAGTCCATAAAGAGAGAGCGAGAGAGACCCTACGAGATCTCACTGCGACTTTTTGGGAAGAGGCTTTTTTTGTAGGTGCTCCTCTTTGTGTATCTGCCTGAAGCCATGTGGGCTGTGAGGGCTGTTGAGAAGGAGCAGAGAAGTTCTTTCAAAGAAGRAGACTGACACTTTTTTTTTTCAAAATCAAACTCTGCACCAAAGTAAACTATCTCTAACCAAATAAGACAGGTTCTTCCTGATGGATTTCAAAGAGCGAGCCCTGTTGTGAAACCTTAGGGACTGCCGGAGAATAAACGTCCCTCTCCTAAACTTTCCCACACAGTTTACCGGGAACAGATAAGAGCTTGACGAAGCATGGAAGCACTGAGACAATCAATTCTTCATTTAACTTTTCAGATGTCATCCTACAAGAGAGCGACGCTGGATGAGGAGGATTTGGTGGACTCCACCAGTGAGGATGTTTACTCGTCAACACCTATGCAGGTAAACGCCCGAACAAAGTTTTAAAAAAAAAAGCGGGGTTGTCCAGCACCTTCAAGGCTTCACACCCTCAGTGAAACTAAAAAACAGTGTCTGCTAATTTCTTGGTTGTACTTTAAATACTTTCATACGTCTAAAATATTAAACAGGTCCCTTTTGTTGCACAATCAATTTAACATATTTGTGGTGTGTAAAGTGTGAACTCGCATATTAAGCTCCTGATCAGACGTGTTTTAAGACGACACCCCTGAGATGACCTCTGTTATAAATTGGAAGCTTATATATAAACCAAATTTATCATAAATTAATACTTTGAAACAATATTACTTTATAAAATATTAGTCTTGCCAAATTAGGTAAACTGATGCTTTTTCTTGTTTATGATATCAAACAACTTATAAAAACATTGCTTTTACTAGATGGCATAAGAAAACAAAACAAACAATTTTCATAAAATGGCATAAAATGAACTATGTTTTGCTCAATTTAGAGATTATGTTTTAGCTCTTTGAGCCATATCCAGTCCTAAAAGGTTTTCAGGAGGTGACTCAGTTTATCCTAAATTATTTTATTGTTTTCACTTTTGTAAAGAACATTCATTGTTTATAGCAGCTATCCTGTTGTCTTTTCTAGCAGGCAGTCCATGATTTTCATAGACTTTGAAAACAAAGTTTTGTCTCTTTACTGCATGTAACAGCAGTAGAGATATTTTCTTTCAATCAGATGGATGGGGGTCCAATCCTCATCTCGTGCAGAGTACCACAGTGTCTTTGAATAAAACATTAAACCCTCCAACTGCCCTGATGTGCTTATGGGTGTATGAGTGAGATTAAAAAGTGAGCTTAATATTAGGGATATTCAACTAAATTGCTCCGGGGGCCACAGTTACTGCAGGCCAACAGCTCAGGGGCCGAGCATCCAGCAATTAAAGTCATCATGTAAACAAAGCAAATATTATAAAACTCTGTTACCTTTGAAATTGTTTATTTTGCTGCATTTAATAAAAGTAGTGATAATAAATCAATATCTAAAACAAAAATAACACAATATGCCTCCCATTTACACAAATATTATTTTGACATCTCTGACGTGCCAAAATTTTAAACCCATTTTATTGTCACTTTCATAGTTTTATCTTAAACTGCTTGTAGCTTTAACTGTTTAACTGTAACTGGTGTTCATAGAAATGGTTTTTACCAGCTTYTAGCCAAGATGCAAACGTTTCTGTAGATACCACACATGTCTATGTCTAACTAAAAGAACTTATAGTAATTAAAGTAGAAAACCGGGGGTTTGAATGAACCAATTGGTGGGCCCAACTTTGGTCACGAGCAGGCTGGATGTGGCCCGCGGGCCGCCAGTTGAATAGCCCTTCTATATAGTGTAAAATATATAATAATAAGCAATATACAAAGTGTGCATATGGATGAAAAGGCTTTAAAGCTCTTTGAAGAACCTGAAGAGGTTGACAAGGTGTTTTGTATATGTGTGTGGACCATTAATCATGTAAACTATGTAGTGAAAATTTAATAATACTCCTACTAGTAATAATTTAAAATGCATTTTTCAGAAGAAAGCTGGTTATTTTAGCCGTTGTCCCAGTTTAACATTAGGAGCCACACGAGCTGTGCATATTGTTCTGTGTTTATTATGTCTGTCCTCCGTCTGGGCCGAAGGTAAATGACCTCTACCAGCGAGAAAACAATTGAAGAATGCTTAACCTTTTCTGTGTATGAGATTACAGAGGAAACATTGTGTTTTGAAATCAAGCCTATCATCAAATCCCTGGTGAACTGTTTTCCACACTCCGTCTGTTCATTAAAGCAAAGTTCTCAACTATGTTCAATGTGGTTCAGAGTTTTTGTTCTTGCAGAGTCGAGCCCGTGTGTGTGTTTTTTGTGTAGGTGACCTTTATGCAAGGCAGAGGTGGCGCATGTTGGGCTGACAAGACGTACAGGGAGAGAAGGCTGCTGTTTGTTGTGTGTGTTCTGTCAGTCGCCCTCTTCGTATCGCTCATCGCCGCTGGAGTTTTCTACAAACAGGGTGAGTTTAAGGCTTGAGTAGCGGACAGGATCAACTTATTCCTGTTGTCTTTGCYCTTTTTATTCTGATTTTTTTAAATATTCTGTCAAAAATAATTAAAAAGTAAACTTTCAACCTTCTTATTTGATGCTGACTCCCCCATTAGAACATGCACMTATAATGTTTACAGATCACAATATTACAGCACTGATTCTAATGCCTCACGTGTTTCCTTTTAAATAAAGAGAAAACTAGATTTAGATTAAGAAATCAATTTTTTCCTCTACAGCTACAACATATTACTGTTTTTCAGTGTATCCCCGATCAAAGTGCAGAAGATTCTCTGCCCATATTTGTCTTTTTCTTTCTTCTAACTTATTTTTAAGAACACAAGAAAACTAACAGCAGTTTCTGAAACATGTTTTTTTTTTATCTCAGTCCAATTTCACTACAAAATATCTATTTATTGTATCATCTCTATCATTATTTGTTAGACAAATCTGGTTTGTGTCCTTACATCAGTTTTTAGTAACGTTTTTGTATATGATAGATAAAGATGTTCACATTAATAACTGTATCTGTAATAACCTAGTTGTTTCACACTCACTGACTGCAAATAATGAATTATTAGTTTAATAAAATCCATTTGAAACAAACAAAATAACTTTTTTTGTATCTCATACCATTTTTGTTGCTTATATATATATATTTTACTGCGGTCACACCCTGCCTGAAAACAAGCCCAAATGTCTCCCTTGAGTTTATTCAATATGGAAAAGGGTTTGTCGGTTTACCGTGGCATCCTGGCCGTTTCTCAGCAGTGTTTGTTTCCTCACTTTTACCATGGGAAACTGAAAGCCGCTTCCTCCCATTCAGCATCGCATGTCACATCACACTTGGAAATAATAAAGGGAACAAGGATGAAATCTCCTCAGGGAGACCCTAACCTCATCACTGCCCATAACTCAGTTTCCACTCCTGTCTCCTACCTTTGTATGGACAGGTCTTCGCACGAGTCAGCTATTAAACCTGGAACAGTTTTTATTCTTTTTATTGACAAATATTTTTTACTTCTTTAGACACTGAAAGTTTTCTAAAGCTCTTGTTTATTAGCTTTTAATCTTTTAATAGTCTTGAATCCTCTACTGTTAATTTACCATTCAGACGTCCCTTTTTTTTTACCGGATTTTCTTTTCCCGGGTTGTGGGGGAGCTGCTTCAGTGGTCAGGTGTGCAGTCCATCACCAGACCATATTAAGACAACGCTTCTCACACACACCTTAATAATTAACCTAACCTGCATGTTTTTGGTCTGAGTAACCCACAGACAGTAACCAAACTTGCCCAAGGAGAACAGCAAACTCCTCACAGTTCAGGCCTCAGGCCGGAGGCAAACCTGCAACCKTGTGTCTGTGTGGCCACAGCGCTAACCGCTGCCCCGCCGTGCTGCCCACGCTGTTCATTTCATTCTTCGTATTCGATAATTACATAACCGGTACTCCATATTGGTTATGTGACTTTGCCCCCCTGACAGATCTCAGCTAACTGTTTATAAAGGATTTTTCCGGGGACAAGTATTCCCTCCAGGTTGTATGTCTTGGCTTACAAAATGATACTTTCCAGATGCTTGAAAACCCTCATGCATATTTGTCTTACCATGAAATATTTTCAGGATTCTCCGCTCCGTTTCCCATGAACTGATAAAGCAGATAAAAAAGAAATCTGATTTTTCTCGTATTTATTTATATTTATTTATTTATTTATTTTGCAGCACACCCAGGCTTGTGCCTGCAGGAGCCATGCGTCACCATGGCCGGTGCAGTCCTGGGATCCCTGGACAGAACTGTAGACCCCTGCCATGACTTCTACAACTTTGCTTGCGGGGGGTGGGTGAAAAGCAACCCGCTTCCGGAGGGAAAGTCCCGCTGGGGTCCGTTCAGTAACCTGTGGGAACACAACATGCTTGTAATGAAGCGTTTATTAGGTAGGTGGGCTTTTAATTTAAGTGTAGTTTAACCCTGAGCTGAGACTCACTGTGCCTTTTCTTAGTATATTTCTCAAGGCTGATGACAGCCAGCTTCTCCCCCTCCGTGACCTTGTTTATCTCACATCTCTGCTTGAGCAGAAAACACAACACTGAAAGGTTTAAGCAAGGCTGAAGAAAAAGCCCAGCGGTATTATCAGGCCTGCATGAATGAGACCAAGATCGAGGAATTAGGAGCTAAGCCTCTACAGCAGCTAATCAGCCAGGTGGGCTACTTTACAAACGGTCAAACCTAAAACTGATTCACAATTTTTAATCCCGCATTTCTAATAAAAAGTTCTGTGATCGCTGAGGTTTTTTTTTTTGTTTAATTGTTTGGTTCAGATAGGAGGCTGGGCTCTGACTGAACCCTGGGACAAGAACAACTTCCAGCAAGTTCTACGAACCGTCTCAGCCGGCTTACGCACGTCTCCTTTCTTCACGGTGTTCGTCAGCACCGACTCCAAAAACTCCAGCAGTAACATCATACAGGTGCCAAGATTTCACATGAACCATTCTGTGTATTTAAAAGAAACCAAGCCAGTGTCTCAGAAGGCTGTGGAGACTGGTTCTTTTGTTTTGTGTCATGAAACAGACTAATTATAAAGATGTGAATTCTTGAGAGTCTGCGGTTTAATCCCACATGCTCACAACACAGGAATGAAAACAAAAGGTTGTGTGAGTGTCAACATGGAGGGTAAACTGACAAAATGTGTCTCTTACCTACAGGTGGATCAGTCCAGCCTTGGACTACCCTCACGGGATTACTACCTCAACAAAACGGCGAATGATAAGGTACTATAAACATGCGTTTTATAGCAGTACATTGATTTTATAGCTGTCATACTGAAAGCTAAAAGTAGCATTGCATTAGCTAAAAGTAAAGATTTTTCAGCTTCGAGGAATAACCTCTTTGTGCAGCTTCATACTTCAGATTTGGTTTTGTAGCTGGATTGTTTAGACACAAACTTCGTCTCCACAGTATTTGACGGCATACCTCAACTTCCTGGTGGAGCTGGGCGTTCTCCTGGGAGCCTCGGAGGAGACGTCTCGGACGCTGATGACGGAGATCGTGGAGTTCGAAACCACCCTGGCCAACATCACCGTGCCTCAGGAGGAGAGGAGAGACGAGGAGCTCATTTACCATAAAATAGAGGCCAAAGAGCTGAAAGTGAGTCTGTTCCCGGTTTGACTAAAACTATTAAAGTGCCTGTGACATTCAATTTTTGTAATAAACGTGAATGCATTTTTGGAAAGATAACATTATTAACATATTGCAAAAACAATTTTCACCCCACTGAGATGAACAGTTGTTGAGATATTTTCATGTGAAGAAACAGGAAGTGATGTCAAAGGGGAATGTCTGCTTGTGAACAGAGCATGTTACAACAGCTAACAAGACAGACTATAGAGAATAATCTGATGTTTCTTTAGATTATTTTCAGTCACTATCAAAGAGATGAAGAAGAGGTAAAGTTTAAATAATACTGTTTTAAAAAACAAAGACCAGAGAGTTAATTTTATTAATGAGTACCCCTTTGATGTCACTTCCTGTTTCAATTTGGTTGAGCCAAATTCAAAAGAAAATAGACCAGTTATGCAACAAAATTGGTAAAATCATGTGTATTATGAAATATTCTTAAGTATAAAGATGTTTTCTTTGACTTTTTGTATTTAAAGGATGGGCATGCCACAGGCACTTTAACCACAAAGCTATTAGACTTAAGTAAATAAAAGAACAAATTTGAAATATTTATAGATGAATGTAAAAATAATGTAAGAAAACCACAAAGTRTTCTCACTAATTATCTTTTGTATGTTTTTCTTGGGATTTATGTTTTTGCTTTTCCAGACTCTGGCTCCTGCAGTGGACTGGATGCCGTTTCTCGCCGAAGTGTTCACACCAGTGACGATTAACGAATCAGAGCCTGTGGTTGTTTATGCCAAAGAATACCTCCAGAAAGTGTCTGAACTCATAGCTACCACAAATAAAAGGTAAAAATWTGTCATTTTATTAGCTTTGCATTGACATTTTTTTTACTGTTGTCTTGTACACTGCATGCACACAAATCCTTCAACAAAAAAGCACAATAGTTAGTGTTCAGTGTATATTAAAGCAGAGGTTCTCAAACTGGGGTCCACGAAAGGTATCTTGGGGGTCCTCAAAAAATTTCACTAAATTGTTAATTTGGTTTTTGTTTTTAAAAATGCATGGAGAACAATGAACTAATAAAACAAACATAATAAACTAYATAAAGAATACATTCCCATGGCATTTAGAGGTTGAATTATCTTTTAAAACWGCATGGGGTTTATGAGGGGGTCCCTGGAAWTTTTTCRGCCTTGTAAGGGGTCCCCTGTCCCAGAAAGTTTAATAATTCTTGTATTAAATGCAGTGAAAAATCTGCTAATTAATTCATCTCTTTGCAGCCTTCTCAACAACTACATGATGATGAAGGTGGTGAGAAAGATGGTTTCTGTTTTAGACCAGAAGTTTCAGGATGCTGAGCAGCATTTCCTTGAAGTCATGTATGGAACTAAAAAGGTAAGAAATACAGCGGGTAAAATAAGTATTGAACACGTCACCATTTTTCTCAGTAAATATATTACTAGAGGTGCTAATGACATGAAATTTTCACCAGATGTTGGTAACAACCCAAGTGATCCATACATACAAAGAAATCAAACCATAAATGTCCAGAAATGAAGTTATTTGTAATAATGTGGAATGACACAGGGAAAAGTATTGAACACACTTACTGAAATTTATATAATACTTTGTACAAAAGCCTTTGTTGTCAATAACAGCTTCAAGATGCCTCCTGTATGGAGAAACTAGTGGCATGCATTGCTCAGGTGTGATTTTGGCCCATTCTTCCACAAACAGTCTTCAAATCTTGAAGGTTTCGTGGACCTCTTCTATGAACTCTGATCTTTAGTTCTTTCCATAGATTTTCTGTTGGATTCAGGTCAGRTGATTGGCTGGGCCATTCCAGCAGCTTTAGTTTCTTTCTCTGAAACCAGCTGAGAGTTTCCTTGGCTTTGTGTTTGGGCTCATTGTCTTGCTGAAATGTCCAGCCACGTTTCATCTTCATCATCCTGGTAGATGGAAGCAGATTTTTATCAAGAATGTCTCTGTACATTTTTCCACTCATCCTTCCTTCAATTATTTGAAGTTTGCCAGTACCATATGCTGAAAAACAGCCCCACACCATGATGTTCCCACCTCCAAACTTCACTGTTGGTATGGTGTTTTTGGGCTGATGTGCAGTGCCATTTGACCTCCAAACATGATGTGTATTCTGGCATCCAAACAGTTCAATGTTGGTCTCATCTGACCAGACTATATTCTCCCAGTATTACACAGGCTTGTTTAAATGTTGTGCAGCAAACTTTAAAGGAGCTTCAACATGCTGTTTCTTCAGCAGTGGAGTCTTGCGTGGTGAGCGTGCATACAGGCCATGGTGGTTCAGTGCATTACTTATTGTTTTCTTTGAAACAATCGTACCTGCTAATTCCAGGTCTTTCTGAAGCTCTCCACAAGTGGTCCTTGGCTCTTGGACAACTCTTCTGATAATTCTTTTCACTCCTCTGTCAGAAATSTTGCGAGGAGCACCTGGTCGTGGTCGGTTTATTGTGTACCTGGCCATCATTTGGGACTGAACCAGCTGATATTAACTTGCACTGACAAGGGGCAGGCTTGCTTTCTAATTACTGAGAGAGTTCAGCTGGTGTCTTGGCTTTCCATGCCTTTTTACACCTCCCTTTCTTCATGTGTTCAATACTTTTTCCYTGTGCCATTCCACATTATTACAAATAACTTCATTTCTGGACATTTATGGTTTGATTTACTTGTATGTATGGATCACTTGGGTTGTTCCCGACATCTGGTGAAAATTTCATGTCATTAGCACCTCTAGTAATATATTTACTGAGAAAAATGTTGACGTGTTCAATACTTATCTTACCCGCTGTATGTATTAAAACTTTTCTCTGTAACTCGGTTTTAGCATGGCAATGATGAATAAATTAAAAAATGGCAATTGGATCGAGCAGATGAAAAAAGAAAAACAAAACTGATGACCAGATTTTATCTTTTTTGTGCTTTTGTAAGTAAATAATTAGCAGTCTTTGACTTTGAGGTTTTCATAAATGGCAAACAAAAAAGAACACGTCATCAGAACAAGTTTCTGTCACATTCTTCTTTGTACAGCACAAATGCAGAGGGTTTGGACCACAGCCAAGAGATGTTTGGGAACTGTTCTCCTGACCTCATGTCCTTGTGTTTGAAACAAACTGTTCATTTTTCTGAGCACAGATAAATGAAAGTCTCCAACTGASAAACAGAACTTTCCTTTCATACGATTTAACAAGTACAGGCTGTTTTTTTTTACACTGTAATTCTGCAGCAACCCAGTTCCTTCAACTTTTTAAAGAGAAAACAAACGAGTTTAAGTGGCTTTTCATAATTTAAAACCAAAAATGGATTTTTTTCTAAACTAAGCTAAAAATGATAACAAGTTTTGTTGAACCACATGAACGCTGTGGCAAAAGGAAAGGAATAAAACAGGAAACAATTTACACAGTGTTCCAACCACTGTATTTATTATAACTTTCAAAGATGTCAGACAGGATTTGAAATCATGGAATTATTATGACTGCTGTCATTTTCTGCTTAAAGCTTCACTCAACAACCTGTTTTTGTGTACGCACAAATGCACAAAAACAGGCCTGTGTTTCTCTGTGTATATRTATAGCATTAGCAACATTATATTACTTCCCAGTGGATTTTAATTAAATTCTCAGAAAGTAATCACTTGATGAACATCTACAGCTGATTAACTTTTGTAGTAAATCCTATTCAAGATGGCCGCCACAGCTAATCAACATTAGCCAACACAAACAAGGCTAAAATTCTCCCTAATAGAATAGAATAGAATAGAATAGAATAGGATAAATCAATCATGTGTCTTTGCTCTGAGTGACCCCCTCAGCCAGATGTGCTTCTTCTGTAGTTTGAGCACCAGTAAACCCCGTCCTTGTCCAAACAAGATCCAGTTCCATCAGCCTTCCTTTTGAATGGGGGTCAAGTTGTGAAAACAAACCAAAGCTGTCTCTCTGTGTGTCTTTGTGTTTGTGAGTGACGCCGTGTTTCTTTTTCCATCTCTAGCTGGAGTAGAGTTTTCTGACTTTGCTTTCTCAGAGCGCTCCTCGTTTCCTCACTGWGACCATGTTCAGTTTTACTTACAAGCAGTTTTCTTAACCTTATTTTGCCTGATTGTGTATTTTTTTTCCCTCTAAACATAAACTTTTTTAACCTGCTGTCAGTGAAGCTAGTGGAAGTATTCAATAGTAAAATTACTTTTTAGGATAGAAATAGAGTGKTTGTTGTTAAAAAACACGAGTACACTAGTTGTGAATAGCTGCGTTTCCATTGACCATGAAAATGCGCAAATTAGAATTTCGAAAATAAATTTGCTCAATGGAAACACGTCAATTTTGAAAAAAAGTTACGTTTTTCGACAAAATGTTTTTGCGCTAGGAAGAGTTGGTACTTCGGCCGTATCGAAACTGGTGTTTTTCGCAAAACTACAATGGAAACACTTTTTTCGCATCACAGGCGTCACGTGATCAACAACCGGCTGTTTCTACTGGCGAAAAAGATGACGACGAAGAAGATAACAGGAAGTAGAAATAGTAGTAATATCACAGAAGTAGTACAGTATAAAATAGAAAACTCAACGACAACAAATTCCCAAAAACACAGCATACGTAGCCGCCCCCAAGTAGGGACTTGTCTCTGGAAAGCCTCGATAAAAGACGCCGACGTCTCCTCTGATGATGAGCGCTAGTGTCGTGGTAGCAACATRCTATGTGTTTACATCCATCACCGCCATGTTTGTAATAACTTATCGCGAGAACAAACGTATTCATGCGTGACTTTAATAGCATTTCTTACTTAATGGAAAACCGCAGTTGCGAAACTGTGTTTTTTCGACATTAATAGAATATTGACAAAGTTTTGCTCACATTTGCAATGGAAACGCAGCTTGTGACTCTCAGCTACTGCCTATTTAGTTTGATTTAAACGTGAGCTGGTTCTACATCTAATGATTMATTTCTGCAAGTTTGATTCAGATCTGGTTCATGAGATATATTTGTAACAAACACACAGACAGCAGGTGTAAAACGTGAGCTCTATGTTCACAAAGATTACAACATATATTCCCTTGTAKCCTGGTAAAAAYCAGCCCCTTGTCCTACACTTTGCTTCATACAGAGGGTCTGGAACCTCGACTAYYGAGATGCCATTTCTTGCTGGAGGCGTGGACTCTGTTGAAGTTTAAAACGATTGGATCTAATTTACCCAATCACTAATGTTGTGAAGTGTAGTGTGCCACCTCAACTGTGAAGGAAGCTAAGCTAAGAAGCTAACCGGCCATTGCGTGCACTGTAAACAACCATCCCCTACTGAGAGGGGAGAAATCTGAGCAGAACGAGATGGCTGTAAAATGAGAGTTGCAGGCTTTGTGAGACAAATTTAATTTAATTTGGAAGTCTTGTCAACACGGACTGGCTTCATTCACTTACTCCGCTGCCATTGCTAAACTACAGGCAGGCGAAAATGGCACAGAAAATCATCGTCGTTGTTCACAACTCCGTCTCCTGTTCGCTGATTGGCCCGGTTGAAATTCTACCGCAGAAATCCTCGTCTATAGGAGAAATCCCTGCCGGAGCAGAGAAGGGAAACGAATTGAGCAGAGCTGTGTAGGAAGGCAAGGCTACCTCATCTGTAATTAGAAATTATTTTGTCTTTTTTTATCTTGTCATCTTTATCATGTTATCTCTAAAAGTCTTCTTGTTATGAACTTATATTGGGAAAGAGAAGTGTAGTCACAGTTAATGACAGGAACAAGACACCTTTATTAGAAATGTTTTTCTTGGTCTGTTTGCACTTTGCTGCAGTTTCACACTTGTTCTCTGCRCCCACACGACAAGTTCACAGTTGAGTCCCCAAAACCTCAAGTCTCGTTTATCACAGTTTTCATTCTCACTTCTCCAATCGCTTCTCCAAAACGTACGAAGTGGCCACTTGAAACGGATTCGTTTGCACGAAGAAAACCCGACTCGCTGAAAAGAAAACATTCCGAAGAGCAGAAAAAAATCCAGGAAGAGCTCGTTGCTCAACGTGTCTTGTGTTGTTTTTGTAGAGCTGCACTCCACGCTGGAAGCTGTGCGTCAGCGACACTGACAGCGCCCTGGGATTTGCTCTCGGAGCCATGTTCGTCAAAGACACCTTCGCCGAGGACAGCAAAGCCATTGTGAGCGTCTGACACCGCAGCTGCTACAGCTTTGTGACATGAAGCCGTTTGAACTCTATTCTTTTTTTTTTTCTTGTGGTACAGGCTGAAGAGATGGTTTCAGACATTAAATGGGCCTTTGAAGACAGCTTGAAATACGTGAACTGGATGGATCCAGAAACCAAAAAAGCTGCAAAAGAAAAGGTGATGAAAGGATACTGAGTAGTTTGTCTCTGGGGTAGTTGTTTTACTTCAACAGCACTAAAGAAGGAAAGAAAGAGAGCACTGCCACCTGGTGTGAAAGTGCCTCTTTTACCATTTTCACCTGTCTTTTTTTTCTGTAGGCTGATGCCATATACAACATGGTCGGATATCCAGAGTTTATTATGAATGCCACAAAGCTGGACAAAGTGTTCAATGATGTAGGTAAATGTTGGGCTGTATTCAATATCATCTCTCTTCCCATTTGACTCATTAATGGCATGAAATTTATTTTTTTTCTCCTCTCGTTTAGTTTGAGGTGGTGTCAGATCTTTACTTCCAGAACGTCATGCAGTACTACAACTTCTCAGCCAGAGTGACGGCGGACCAGCTGAGGAAATCTCCCAACAGAAACCAGTGGGTTTCCTCCCTGCTGCTCCCCTTTCCTTTAGAGAACACGTCATTTTACTGACTCAGCGAAAATACTGCTGCTTTCCACAAAAGGCAACCAGCTTCCCTCCACCGAGCTGATTCTTGTCTCTAATTAGGACGTACGGGAGAAGTTAGATTAGCATTCGCGATGCCCCTCAGAACTGATCTGTAGTCTTGCGTGGCGCAAGGTTACGTGGAACGTTCTCAATTTGTTGTGACCTTGACGTCAGCGAAGCAGTGTGGCTTTAGCTGTGTTTGGACCTTTCATTAACAGTCTATTTATCTGATCCAAAATCATATTTACAATCGGAGGTTGATGCTTCTGTAAAATTTACAATAATTTTAGATTTCTGAATGATATATTTTTTAATATATTTGCGCAATTCAGAGCCACTGAGTTTCATTTTTTGTGAAATTGTTTAATGCACAACTCCTACACCCCTTGCTCAGACCATCAAACATGTGGATAAAAGCAGTCCAGACCACCTCCGGAGGTGGTTTTATATAAATAGCACAGATGTATTTAGCGCTATGTGAATAAAATCCGATATTTAGCATTGGATTTCCTTTGTGTTGTTTTGCAGGTGGAGCATGACCCCTCCAACTGTAAATGCCTATTACAACCCAACCAAGAATGAGATGGTTCTGCCAGCAGGAATCCTTCAAGCCCCATTCTACAGTCGATCTTATCCCAAGTATGTATTATTATTATTATTATTATTGCTTTTTACTGTGTGATACTGTGTAATACTCTGGTTCTTGTTGCATTTTTAGTACAATCTTTAGTTAGCAGTGAGCTACAGTATCTAAAAACAATTGGCACAAGAGAGTCTTATTATGGGCATTTGTCTAAACAAAATCTCAGTTGTAGATGTTTCTGTATTACATAAGTACAAACTGTGCACAGTATCTCTCTACTTAACTAACGGGACTTGCCTGGTTAAATAACAGTAATTAATAAATTAAAGGGATCCACGATTAGTTGCAACGTTAGACTTTATTTGATAAATACTTATTTTAACTGTAAAAAAAACAGACTGTAAAAATACCAGTAATTAATAAATTAAAGGGATCCACGATTAGTTGCAACGTTAGACTTTATTTGATAAACATATATTTTAACTGTAAAAAAAACAACTAAAAATACTGTAGGATGTTCAGTTTTTATAAATTTTAAACTAAAAGTTTAAAAATATATTACACAGACGGGGCCATTTTATTTACATGCAAAGCATTCTGGGTAAATGATGACATCAACTAGGTCATCGGTGCGAGGC